GAGGTCAAAAATGGAAAACCGAGTTGATACCTTGGAACGGGAACTCGCAAACATCGCAGCTTCAATAGCGACGATGAACGAACAAATTCAGAGCAACGTAGCAGCTTCGATGGCCGCCATGAACGAACAGATCCAGAGCCTTCGCGATCAGCCTCGGGGAAGATCGCGATCACAAACTCGCCACCATTCGCAATCGACCCACAGCCCTGAGCCATCGAGAGGTAATTCTGTACATTCTAAAGCTCGCTCTCGAAGGATACATACTGGCAGGAAGGTAGACCTACCTCTATTTAATGGGGAGGGTGCTTACAACTGGATCGTGAGAATGGAGCGCTATTACCGACTGAACCAGATAGATGAGAAAGATAAAGTAGAGGTCGCTGTAGTTGCGATGGAGGATCGGGCCTTAAACTGGTTTCAGTGGTGGGAACACCAAGCCGAGGAGAGAACTTGGGAAAATTTGAAGGATGCGGTGATCCGAAGGTTTCAACCTGATTTAATACAGAATCCGTATGGGCCTATGCTGAGCTTGAAGCAAACGGGTACTGTGCAGGAGTACAGGGATGAATTCGAGATGGTTATAGCTCCCCAGAAAGACGTGGACAGAGGTATTCTGAGAGGCATCTTCATTAATGGTCTCAAGGAGGATGTTAAAACTGAACTAAAACTGTATAATTCCAGGTCCCTATCTGCAATCATGGATAGGGCATTGTTGATTGAACAACGAAATGATGCTGTGTATTGGAAACCTAAGGGGGAGGAAAGAGCAGGTGGGAAGGATAAGAGCAACATGAATGTCAAACCACCAGTATGGGGAGAAGGATTTAAGGCAAAAAGTGGAGAACCATGGTCCAACACTGGAAGTAAAAACACTGCAGATAACAAAGGCAAACAGCCTTGGTACACTCCTGCAGGGGTAAGGGTGACTGAAATCAACCCCCCAGGTATCAAGCGGGTAGGGCCACAACTTTCTCAAGAGGAATATCAAGACAGGAGTAGGAGGGGACTCTGTTTCAAGTGCGGGGAAAAGTGGAGTAAGGAACACACCTGCAAACTGAAAAATTACAAACTGATATTAGTAGAAGATTCTGATGAAGAGGTGGAGTCAGAATCAACTGAACCTGAACTAGCTGAGGAAGAGGAGATCAATATGGAGTCAAAAACCATGCAGCTCTCTGTGATGAGCAGGGAAGGGATACCTTCCATGAAAGCTTTTAAGGTGAGAGGCAGTCTGAAATGGAGCCAAGGGGAATTTTCAGTAGAAGCATTGATTGATAGCGGGGCCACTCACAACTTCATATCTCAAGAACTGGTGGAAAAATTGGGCATACCCTACCAGACCATTGCTGGGTACAAAGTGCAGGTAGGGAACGGTGATAAAATCTCGAATAATGGCAGGTGTGATGGGCTGAGCTTAAGGCTGCAGGACACCATTATTAACCAGAAGTTCTATGTATTAGAATTAGGGGGTACTGATTTGGTTCTTGGCATGGAATGGCTGACTACCTTAGGGGATGTGGAAGTGAATTTCAAGAAGCAAATCATCACATGGCAACAATTGGGAGTAAGGCAGTCCATCCAAGGGGACTCACAGCTCAATTCACTTGAAGTATCTTTGCAGACCATGACTCAGATCATACAGGACCATGGGGATGGATATCTTATCTTATGTGAAGGCATTCTTACAGAAGAAAAAGAAGAAAATATGAAGGATCAGGGGTGGGAGGAATTGTTGGCAGAATTCAAAGAGGTAACCACTCCTTTGCAAGGGTTACCACCCCACAGAGCATGTGATCATGCTATCAACATCAAGGAGGGAGCTGACATACCCAACATCCGACCCTATAGGTACCCCCAGTATCAAAAAAATGAAATAGAGAAGATCATCAAAGAAATGCTGCAGTCTGGAATTATTCAACACAGTAACAGCCCATATAGCAGCCCTATATTGTTAGCCAGAAAGAAAGATGGGGGATGGAGGTTCTGTGGAGATTATAGAGCCCTAAATCAGATTACTGTCCCTGACAAGTTTCCCATACCCATTATTGAAGAGCTGTTGGATGAGCTAGGAGGTGCCATAATCTTTTCAAAACTAGATCTCAAGTCGGGGTATCACCAAATAAGAATGAAGGAGGCAGATATACAGAAAACTGCTTTTAGAACCCACGAAGGGCATTATGAGTACTTGGTCATGCCCTTTGGGTTAACCAATGCCCCCTCCACTTTTCAGGCTCTAATGAATCAGGTATTGAGACCATTTTTGAGAAAATTTGCTTTGGTTTTCTTCGATGACATCCTTGTGTACAGCAGATCTAAAGAAGACCACCTTATGCACATGAGAGAAGTGTTATCTGTGTTAAAGGAAAATCAGTTGGTTATTAATTTGAAGAAATGCTCTTTTGGAAGGTCCCAATTGGTGTACTTGGGTCATATTATATCTGGACAGGGTGTGGCAGCTGATCCAGCCAAAATAGAAGCTATGCTCAGTTGGCCAGAACCTAAGAATCTGAAAGGGTTAAGAGGGTTTCTTGGGCTGACTGGATATTATAGGAAGTTCGTGAAGAATTATGGTAAACTTGCCTTACCTCTTACCCAATTACTCAAGAAGGACAGTTTCAAATGGGATTCAAATGCCACTACTGCTTTTACTGAACTGAAACAAGTCATGACCTCTCTCCCGGTGCTAGCAGTACCAGATTTCAACAAACTCTTCATACTAGAGACTGATGCCTCAGGTACAGGGCTAGGGGCAGTCCTGATGCAGGAAGGGAGGCCCATAGCTTATATGAGCAAAGAACTATCCAAGAAAAATCAGTGCAAGTCAGTTTATGAAAGAGAGCTCATGGCTATCGTTTTAGCTGTACAGAGATGGAGGCCATATCTGTTGGGTAGATTTTTTGAGATCCATACAGATCAAAAAAGCTTAAGGTTTTTGGCTGAACAGAGAATTATGGGGGAGGAGCAGCAGAAGTGGACCTCTAAATTGCTAGGGTACAATTTTACCATCAAGTACAAACCTGGAATTCAAAATAGAGCTGCTGATGCCTTATCTAGAAGACCTATTCTACACTCACTCTCCATTGTCACTTGTCAAGAGTGGGAGGGGTTAGAGGAGGAGCTACATTCTGACCCTAAATGCCATGACCTGATTCAGAAGATCATCTCTCAACCTGATCAGCATCCAGACTTTCAGATTATTAAAGGGTTATTGTATTACCAGAAGAAGCTGGTACTGCCTAGGCAGTCCCCTAGAGTACTCAAGGTGTTAAAAGAATATCATGATTCATCAGTGGGAGGTCATTCAGGGTACTTTAGAACCATGAAGAGGATCAGCAATCTGTTTTATTGGTATGGAATGAAGACTAACATAAAAAAATTTGTTGAAGGATGTACCACTTGCCAAACAAATAAATATCAAGCTCTGAAACCCGCTGGATTGCTACATCCCCTGCCCATTCCCAGCAGTATTTGGACAGACATCAGTATGGACTTCATTGGGGGGCTACCAAGATCCCAGGGCAAAGATACAATCTTAGTGGTGGTGGACAGATTGACGAAATATGCACACTTCTTAGCTCTATCTCATCCCTACAATGCCAAGGAAGTTGCAGATTTATTCACAAAAGAGGTGGTTAAACTACACGGATTTCCTAAATCTATTGTAAGTGATAGGGATAGGGTATTTATGAGCTCCTTCTGGTCAGAGCTTTTCAAATTGGCAGGTACCCAGCTTAAATTCAGCACAGCCTACCATCCTCAGACAGATGGGCAGACTGAGGTTGTAAATCGTTGCCTGGAAACATATCTGAGATGCCTCACTGGGAGGAAGCCTAGACAGTGGACCCATTGGCTACATTGGGCTGAATTCTGGTACAACACCAACTACCACTCTTCTTTGAAATTGACCCCTTACAAAGCATTATTTGGGCAAGACCCTCCTGCAGTCATCAGGGGGGGGTGTCTTTAACTGCTGTGGAGGAAGTATCTAAATTGACAGCCCAAAGGAATGCCATGTTGGAGGAATTAAAAGGAAACCTAGCTCAAGCTCAGAATCTAATGCAACAACAAGCAAATAAGCATAGGAGGGAGATGGAGTTGACTGAGGGAGACAGTGTCTATCTCAAAATACAGCCTTACAAACTTCAAAGTCTGGCCAAGAGGATTAATCAGAAGCTGAGACCCAGATTTTATGGCCCCTTTCAGATATTGGAGAAAATTGGCCCTGTAGCTTATAAACTCAAACTTCCAGAGAACAGCCGGATACATCCTGTGTTCCATGTTTCCTTATTGAAGAAGGCCTTAGCACCTACTACTGTTTGCCAGGACCTGCCCAAATGCCTTAATGAAGAACTAGAGCTACAAGTGATACCAGAAGAGGTGGTGGAGAGCAGAAGAAACCAGGAAGGAAAAGAGGAGGTTCTCATACATTGGAAGGGTTTACCAAATTTTGAAGATACTTGGGAAGATGCACAAGTAATGAAGGATCTATTCCCTGAGTTTCACCTTGAGGACAAGGTGAATTTTCAGGGAGGGAGTATTGATAGGATGACAGCTCAGCCACCTATTAAATATTTTAATAAAGTTTATCAAAGGAAGAGGGGAAGGGCAGTTTAGTAAATTTGCTCATAAGTTAGTTATTTACTTTTGTCCCTGCGTGGACACTTTACTATAAATAGTATGTTAGTAGCTAATAAATGCAGGCTGAATTTAGTGGATGTCAGAACTTTTTGGAGGTTGGGCCCCTCGAATTTGCCCTGAGCACTGTATCCTCTTGTGATCTGTTCGGTTGGATAATAAAATTCCCGATCATCTCTCCCATTTCTTACTGAGTTTTCTATCTATTTTGACCACTCCTATCAGTGCCAAAAGTGAAAAAATGACAATTGGGGCTAAAACTGGAAATGACTTGATGTTTGTGGGACCAAAATGGAAAGTTCTCTTTTCACACCACCAAAAAAAAGTTTCAATATTAAGACAAAATAATATCACAGATGACTTACCTTCCATTGAGAAGGGAAACTTGGAGCCAGTCATCAAATTCCTTAGCCCAAGGAAGAGGAGGACCTTCACTCCTGAGAGCCCGTAAGTTATGAGTGGCAGATCCAGACCCAAATATGAGAACACCTTCTTCCTTAAGAGGAGCCAATGATTTACCCATATTGTAATGGTGTGTTCCATTCATGTTTGGCTGGACAGAAAGCTGGCAAACTGGGATATCAGCGTCTGGATACATGAGCATAAGAGGAACCCATGCCCCATGATCCAAACCACGTCTTGTGTCTTTTTCCACTTTCTTGAAACCAGAAGAGAGAAGTAACTCAGCTGTCCTTTTTGCTAAGTCTGGAGCTCCTGGTGCTGGATACTTGAGCTGCCATTAATAGAATATGTAGGTACAAGGTGACCAGTGATCAGTGAAGTTAATAGCACGATAACAGCAGGGCTAGGCGCTACTAGATTGCCTATAGCGGAGAGGCATATATTTATCATTTATTGAGACTTCGAGTAATATATTTATCATTTATTGGATTTGATATGAGCATGGCATGTAATTACATGCATACATATAATTATGTATTATGCATATATATTGTCAGAATAGCATTCGTCCCGCTATCCGCTTTACGCCTTTACCCCTATATCATTTTCAGCGTTGGCCTCCACGCAACGCTATTCATGATTGACAACGCTAAAGATGATGTTTATAATTTGTACCCTATAAAACCGATTATGACTTTATGAGCACACCCGAATACTCCACTATTGACCCAAATAAGGATTTCTTCATCGTCTATCTCAAGTAATTTTCAAACACAATTATTACTTTAATAGTGATAGAGATAAATCATAATATTTATCTCATATTATCTCTTTGTAATTAATTTGAATATGTATTCTTATCTCCTAGTTAGTTACATAGACCATGACTCTTTGTTTGTAACTCTATATATACGGATGTACATCATAGCAATGATAATCAATTAATTCCGATCATAAACTTCAACAAATAGGTCATATGTCATCCTTATAGGAAGAGTAATACAAAGCCTTAATATGTTGGTTGGCATTCTCTATTTTCGAATGTAGTATCACTTGATACAAATTGCCAGTTCGTATGGTCTTTTAGGCAGTCAAACCTAATTTAACAAAACATAAGAATCCAATATTTCCAATCTGATGATAGTTGTTAGCTAGGATGGGTTGGTGTATATTTACTTATAAGTTATAATAGAGAGGTGAGTTAGGCTCAATTTTTATGTAGTTAGCATCATGACAGGTAAGGCTTAAGCCTGTGGATTTAGTAGAAGTCAGAGCCTCAGAGGGCGGGTTAGGCTCAACTTTCACAGTTTCACGCAAAGGAGGCTGCAGAAGGCATCACGGTTCATAAGTGACGCAAAAATGATCCACCTTCCGGGATTAGTTAATCATGCTAAGCTTTGTTATCAAATTAGTGTTATGAAATCAAGGAATCGTCCCCAAATCATGACCGCTTGATAACCGTCCTTATTAAACAAACTACAGGACGCTGGTATCACTAAATCCCGACTACCAAAATGAACACACACACACACACAGATATAGAATATTGGAGATTTGGCGCGTGTAAGGCGGATGGCTAACCTGATACATTTGCTTGGGGAAGCCGTAGAAGTCATGGATGGTTTCGTTGCGGCCGCGGATGGAATTGATGGTAGGGACGGAGGTCTCCCAGTGGGCGGAGATGACTAGGATTGCGGTGGGCTTCTCCGGGAAGATTTTCTCCCGGAAAGATTCGAGAAAACGGCGGGCCGGTAGGGATTCGTCGATGGAGAGAGTTGGCGAGCCATGAGAAATGAAGAACGTCTCTTTCAAAGGCATAACACCGGCCATTCGCTAAGATACGTCCGCTTGGCTCCTCCGCAATTCGATTCGATTATTCTGGTTTCCGGCGCTTCCGCTCCTTCTGCGTCTGTATTGTCTTGCTTAATACGAGTGCATTCAAGCAGAGCATTCAAAGTCATTGTTTGAAGTCGCCAAAATTAGTGGCTCAGTGCTGACTAATTAGAGATTAGTTGGATTAGTCTATGCTGGTTCAATTATTCAAATATGGATTACTCTGACGTGTTCTTAGGGTCATGTATACATCATAAGAGCATCCACAATGGCGTACGGTTAACATTGTGGCAATTAAAAAAATTGACACGTGCCAATTAATATATGGATCTGTCAACCACATCACGTTGGAGTCATTAAGTGAACATTGAGATCCCAGAATTCCTGTGCAATGCTCGATGTTTAACAGCCCATATTTCACCAACGTGTAAAATAACCCATTTTAATTATATTACTCTTGAATCCCAAAAACATTCCAGATGCGCCGGCTTCTATGCAAAATACTCCGTAGTTATCAATTCACATCATTGCCGGCTTCTATGCAAAATACTCCGTAGTTATCAATTCACATCATTGATTATTGACAGATCAAAAGCCATACAACTATCTTCTTTGATCAATGACTTCTGGGTTTAAAAAAAATACGTAGAGGTAATGCTTACGTATATCAATTCATTTAATTTGATCTATCATCTATTATTCAAATCATTTGATCTATATCTATTACTTTTAATTTCTATGAAAATCTTTGATTAAAACTATTTAATTTGTTTATTTATTACTCCTTCTGTCCCAATTTGTAAGATACTTTACGGTTTACGATGTTTGACCGACGATAAAGCAAATTGATCCCTGTCAACACTCAAATTAGTTTTAGAAAATAAAATTTACATATTCATAAACTACATTAAAACCGCTACAAAACCTGCAAAAAATAATTCAAATTTAATAAACTTTTGTTATATAAAGTAAAAGATTAAGAGTGATTTCTGTTGACCAAGTGAATAGTAAATGTATCTTACAATTTGGGACTGAGGGAGTATTATTTTTATTGAGCCTCTTGATGACTTTTTGAAAATAATGTATAGTTTTTGTAAACAGATTAGTTTTGATAAAAATGACAACACCTAGTTATGACTCGGATTCCAATAGCTCATCATCTAGCAATGATTCGCTACCGTTATCTACACAAATGCTGAATCAACTAAGGAGGGACGGTGACATTTTTGCGGAAATGAACATTGATGTAGTGGAGACATGTGCAGTTCAAGTCCCATTGATATTGTCTCCTATGCTAATATGTAGCAAAGGTCCTCATGGCGGTTCAATAAGTGGTAGACGATATATAAATCGTGATAGGAAAGAACGCCATGATCTAATTGTCAATGATTATTTCAATGGTGAGAACTCAAAGTATACACCTGAGAAATTTCGTCGACGATTTCGGATGGACATCGAATTATTTGAACGAATTTTGAGAGCAATTGAGGCCTATGATGATTATTTTACACAAAAGGTTGACGCGGTCGGAAGACCCGGGTTAAGTCCTTTACAAAAAAATCATAGCTTCAATACGTATGTTAGCATATGGTTGTGCAGCAGATATTCTTGACGAGTATGTCCAAATTGGAGAGAGCACAATAATTGAGAGCTTGAAACGATTCTGCGATGCTATAATTGGCATTTTTGAAAAGCAATATTTACGAAAACCGAACAAAGATGATGTTGCACAACTTTTGAAAGAGGGAGAAGACCGTGGATTTCCAGGTATGCTTTGTAGTTTAGATTGTATGCATTGGCATTGGAAAAATTGTCCAACGGCCTGGCACGGGACACATACTAACGGTTTCAAAAGAGTTCCAACTCTTGTTTTGGAAATTGTAGCTTCTAAAAATTTGTGGATTTGGCATGCATTTTTTGGAATGGCCGGTACAAATAATGATGTTAATGTTTTAGATAGATCTCCCTTATTTGATGACCTTGTTAATGATAGAGCACCACTATGCAATTATGTAGTGAATGGTCATCATTACAATATGGGGTACTATTTATCAGATGGGATTTATCCGAAATATGCCACTTTAATCCAAACTATCTCAAATCCATCTTCTCTCAAGGAAAAATTATTTGCAAAGCATCAAGAGTCTGTAAGAAAAGATGTAGAACGAGCATTCGGAGTACTGCAAAGTCGGTGGCATATTATCAAAGGTCCAGCACGTATGTGGAACCAAAAGGATTTAGGAAAGATTATGAAAACATGTATCATTTTACATAACATGATTGTTGAAAGTGAGAATAGTCAAGGCATTGATCCTCAAAGTTGGCAATCCGAGGGAGAAGATACAAGTGACAATGTTGTTCCGGATCATGATTTTACCTTCCTTTTTTCAAGGATGAAGACTCGAATGAAGGAAATACAAAATAAAAGATTGCACCGAGAGTTAAAGACCGATCTCATAAATCATTTGTGGGAGTTACATGGTGGCCAACAAGTTGATTGATCTTTTATTAAAATGACTTCATATATCTTATTTGAACTACTCATACAGCTGGAAATTCATTTCTATTTCTTTGTTTTCTAATAATACGTTAGAGCATTTAATTTATTGCTCTTTTGATGTGTACTACATTTAATTTTGACTATTATGTTCTCTTTTATTGCATTGTTTTTCTTTAAGTAATTGTCCTATATAGGACTAAAAAAGAAGAGAAATTCTCAAATAAGACCATGTATGTTTTTTTCCCCAAATAGGATCGATTTACTCCTATTTTAAAACATCCGCATATTTCATTCCATTATTACCCTCTATCCCTTTACACACGTCTCCCCAATCGCTTCCCCTTCTCTCCTGCGCACATCCCTCTCTCTCTTTCTTGGTTCCTTGCGCATCATCATCGGCTTCATCCAAGCCATTGTCGCCGCCTCCGTCGACTTCGCCCTGTGCACAAGATCGACCGCTTTCCTCTCACGCCATCGATTTCGCCGCTGCCATTAAGGTTCTTCTTCTCCTTCTTCCTCTTCTCCTTCTTCCTCTTCTTCCTCTTCCTCTTCCTCTTCGATTTCCTCTGTTTTTTTGGATTTTGAATTTTCTTCTTCTTCCTCTTCCTCTTCGATTTTCCTCTGTTGTTTTGGATTTTGAATTGAATTTTCCAATTTTCGGGCTTCTGTTTTGATTTTTTGATTTCTAGTTTCTGAGTTTTAAAACAAATTCAGATTTTCAACATTTTGGATGATTGTTTCGGATTTGGCCAAGTTTATGGCAGAAATGTGTCCATTAACATCATATTATGACAGAAATGCTTTTGTATAAAGTGTTTTTTTTGTCAATAGCTTCGTTTTTCTAATTTGCTATTGTGCTAAGAAAATTATTCCACTAAAAAATTTAGTTGTTTGAATATTTGGTTATTTATTTCATGTTTTTTCATTTTTTGTCAAATTTATGGCATTTTTGTGTTAATATTTCAACATGAATCTGCCAACTTTTTGGCAGATCTGAAACTCTTGTGTTATGGAAGATGTAGATCTAATCCACAACTCTAAATCTGCCAACATAAAGGCAAATTTATTCTGCCTGAGTTGTCGTGTTCAGAGGATGGCGGTGGTGGTGGATGGCGACGCCGATCAATTTAGTTGTTTGAATATTTGGTTATTTATTTCATGTTTTTTCACTTTTTGTCAAATTTATGGCATTTTTGTGTTAATATTTCAACATGAATCTGCCAACTCTTTGACAGATCTGAAACTCTTGTGTTATGCCATGGACGGTGTCGCCAGTGTGGGAAGCGGCGGCGATCAGGGGGCGGCGATGAGTGGAAATGATGGGCCGTCAAGGATGCGGCAGCAGGCGGCGAGGATGGCAACGGGCGGCACATTCACCGGCGAGGGCGGCGACGGGCGGCACATTCACCGGCGAGGGCGGCGACAGACGACGTCGTCTCTGGTGAGGGCGGAGGCAGGATCCGGCGGCGGGCGGTTTGGCTCTGGCGGTGGCAGTGTCACTGCTAGGGTTTCAATAGTTTTTAATTTTACATTTTTAAAATTTAAAATATTAGAAGAGGGGTATTTTAGTCTACTACTCTGAAAATGGTCCTATGAAACATATGGTTCGTTTATAGTCCTAAATGGGCAATTAACTTTGCTATTATTCCTATTTGAGGCATTAACTCTTTTTCTTTTTGGTATCCCCTCTTTGTTTGAATAATCATTTTTGTTAACTACTGGTTGAATAACTGGAAGTGACAAAATTTGACTGTTTGATAAAGAATCAGTAACCACAGTTGACAACAACCGGATCCACCTGTGGTATGTTGTAGCTGACTGGAGTACTCAAGATCAAATTCGTCCTCATCATAATTATTCCAAGATGAAGTTGGGAATGTGCTCTCTAAGATAATTTGGGAGGTGGGAGGGAGAATTATTGTAAGGAATATTTGTTTTTAGATTTTGATGATGCTAGATTAATTAGGACTTTAGAGTACCCCTATTTAGACTTAATGTATTAGAATTTTCATTTGTAAAGTTCTTAGTGTAATCGACTTGGCAGAATGGCTCCAAGAGCAGAAGACCTTCTGAGCAGAAGGGCTCCAAGAGCAGAAGACCCTTCTAAGGCGTTGTTGACCAGAGGACCTTTGGTTCTCTGCTTCAGAACAGAAGACCTCAGGGTCTCTGTTAGCCTTTACTCTGACAGAAACCCTCCTGGTTCTCTGTTGGATATATTCTCAACAGAAGTGCTCCAGACCTCCTCTGTTCAACTCTTAGTTAAAGACACCAGAAGGTCTAACACTTGGAAGAATTACACAAAGCCGGGTAATCAACTGAAAGATTCCTTCAACGGCTAGGAGTATTGAACGGAAAAGCTACAGTACGCGCATTAAATGCTCATTTAATGCTCCCCATGCTCCGTAGAGTAATTGCAGATGATTGGCCGCAATGTCAGGATTACCTTATCCCAAAATAGTAACCCGCCAACTTTACCGGGTCCTACTGGTCAAGTCAACTGCTCGGGCATTAAATGCAGTTGTCCTCCTACTCCTCCAACGGGAAGACAACCTCAGTATAAAAGATACACTACGAAGAACAACCGGATAACTTTGCAATTTTTGCTAAACATTGCTACAACTCTTCATACAAGAAATTCAAACTCTGAAAAGCAAAAAGCCTCCTTGAGATTAACACTTCATCATCTTCTACAAGAGAAGGCAGAAGTTGGAAAAATACTTTTTCCAACTTAAGCAAAGTTCCAAGTGTTCTTCAACTCTTCAAGCTCATCACATACACATCATTTGTAACGAAGCTAGTTGGAGGAACCCCTGTGTTAACAGAAACTCTTCTTGCTACAAGAAGGACGTCCAAGTAACTTGAGTTGTGAAGTGGTGATACTTCCAGGAATCTCAGTAAAAGGACCAGTCTTAAAGGAAGCCAGGCAGTGCATCCCAGGAGACATCTAGGCTTGAAGAAGATGAGGAGAGCTTCTTAAGTACTAGGACTAAGGCGTTGTAAACGGTCGTTTTTACAAGCTTAGTGGAACAGTGGATTAGAGGAACGAGTTGTTCCTTGAACCACTATAAAAATCCCTGGTGTCGTTTACTTACTGCTTTAATATTTGCACTTAGATAGAACTGTCTAACTCCTTAGACTTGGTATCTGTGTTCAGCAGAACTTGTCCTACGAGTTAACAGAAGGCCTACTGCCTTTGCTTCTCTGAGGCTAAATCAACAGAACTCCCTACCAGAACCCCATCCGCTGCCAGTCTGTTCTGTCAACAGAACAGGCTATTCTGTAAAATCTGGTACTTAGTTTAAAAAGCTAAAAACCAATACAGTCTATTCACCCCCCCTCTAGACTGTATCCAGTACAACCGGGACCAACAAGTGGTATCAGAGCCTCCTTGTTCTAATAATCTCTTAGGTTATTTGCTGAACAAAGATCCACTTGTTTTTCTGTTTGACCTCATTTCTATCTGATATAATGGATCACTCCTTGTCCAAGAATCTTATGTTCTCAGATCTGAAGTTTGATGACTGGAGGATCCGGATGAAAGCACATCTCTGTGCCCTGCATGATGAGATGTGGGAAGTTCTTGATATTGGCCCTTTCACAAGCTTCCAGAAGGTCAATCCTGGGCATGCTATTGACAACACCAGACCCCAGATGATCAGTAAAGCCAAGTCAGAATGGACCACTGAAGAGAGAAGAAAGTACAACCTGGACAATATTGCTAAGGACATCCTCTACAAGTCCATTGATGATAGGTACTTCAACAGAATAAAGAAGTGCAAAACTGCAAAAGAAATCTGGGATACTCTTGAGCTCATTGGAGCTGGTGATGAGCAAGAGAAGGACAACAAACTGACTATAGCCAACAAGAAGTTTGATGACTTCAAACTTCTCCCTGGTGAAAGCATCTCCAAGATGTATGACAGGCTCCTCACTCTCACTGGAGAGATCTCTGAGCTTGGCAAGGAACTCACCACCAAGGAGATCAACCTGAAGGTGTTGAGGAGACTGCCCTCAGCATGGAAAATGAAGGTAGTTGATGTCCAAGCCAGCAAGGATGTAAAGGCTTATCCCACTGATAAGCTCATCTCTGATCTCAAAGCTCATGAGTTCGAGATGATTGAAGAAAAAGAAGATGTACCAGAAGAGAGGACCACTACAGCCCTCACTGCCAGCACATCAAAGGTAAATGATTTTGACCCTTCAATACTTTTATCTGACGAATATATGGCTGCCTTTGCCAGGAGATTCAAAAAGTTTATGAAGAATCCCAAAGATGGAAGGAGTCCATCTTTCAACAGAAAGCCATACCAGAAGGTCAAAACAACAGAAAGCAGTGGTGAGCTTCTCTGTTACAATTGCAGACAACCTGGTCACTTCAAGGCTGATTGTCCCCATCCAAGGGTGTCCAAGAAACAAGGACATGATGGAGAAAAGAAGAAGTACGAAGACAACTCCAGAAGGAGAAAGGCACTTGTGACAGAACAACTAGAAAAAGACCCTCTGTCAGAAACAGAATCCAGTTCTGACTCAGATTCTGATGAGGCATTCTGTTGCCTAGATACAGAGACAGAAGACCTTTGCCTCATGGCTCATTCTGATGATGAGGTAACCTCTACTTCTGAATCTAGTTTTTCTTCGGTAGGCTTAGCTTTTGATTCTGATTCAATGTCAGAATTTTGGGAAGAGTTTAAGGCCATACAAGCCACTTATTCTTCTGTAACAGAAGAAAACATTAAGTTAAAAGTTGAAATTCTTGACTTAAAGAAGGAGGTTGAGATCAAAATCAATCTTCTAATTAAGGAAAGAGATCAACTGGAGACTGAAAATGTTTCTCTTCTCAAGAGAATAAGGGAAATAGAGCCTCTCGAGATTAAGTACAAAGCTTACCAGAAGGCCCAGTCTTCCATGGAAAAGATTGTACTTGATCAACAGATTGGCACTGGTTTTGGTCTTGGTTATGACTCAACAAAATCAGGTGAGCCTTCTGTAATGCCTAGCACCAGTGTTGCTAAGGCAGATAAGGTCATAGTGCCACTGATTTCTAGCCCCATTTGTCAAGCTGGTGTATCTGGCACCAAGGT